GTGTATTTCTCTCCTCTCCTACAACCACATGAGCGGCTCCTTCTTCCTCTGCTCCGACACGCAGGGCCTAAAGTGTGCGTTTATTCTCCAGACCCTCTTTACAGATCGTACTTTAAACAGCGTGATCTGCGAATAAACAAGGGCCAGTAAACAATGGAGTGAAGGCTGTGCCCACGTATAGGAAGAGCACACACACACACACACACCAAATTGCACAAGTGTAAACTTTGAATAGGCCGCCGCCGCCGCCGCCGCCGCTCTGTAAATTTACACAGACATTAAATTTGCTTCTATTCATTTTAGACATATAATGCTAAGCCGCCTTTTTTTTTCTTTTTTCTTTTTTCTTTTTTTATAGCGCACTGATCGATATCTGTGTAAAATAATCATTTTTTCTTTTTTTTTTTAACTAGCGGGGCAGTGAAATCTTTGCTTTGTGCTAAAGTCAACAGTGACAGAGTTTGAGCTCAAATAAATGCCGTGATGTCTGGAGCCCAAAGGCAGAAAGGCAGAAAGGCAGAAGCCTCTTACAAAGGGCTCCTGTGCGGCTTTGGCAGCGGCGGCGGCGGCGGAGCAGTGACACAGGTATGGAGCAGTGCTTTCTCATCTTTAATTCTTATTTTTAAAAAACAACTTGATTATAGATTTTTTTTTAAAATTTTGCTGAGGTGGTGCATGTGAGGGTGGTGGAGGCATATATATATATAGAGGGGAGGGAGGGGAGGGTAACGGGGGCGGAGGAGGAGGAGGTGAGGTGAGAGGAAGAAGTGGGAGCAGAGGCTGAAATCCTAAATTCATGAGAACGGAGCCGTGTTGGATTTGACGACAGGGTGGTGCAAAGCTGCGGGATCTGCTGTGACTGTGAGGCTGCTGGAAGGTTCTGAGCCTCTGAGCTGATGGAGATAAAAAAAAAAAAAACTCTGAGTAGAAAAGATTTTTTTTTTTTTTGCAGTGGATGATGATCTGAATATCACTCATACTTGTCAACGTCCACTTCCTGAGCCTCATGTTGAATCACCCAGTGATTTCAGCCGCGTCTTTTCATCCGTTCGCAGCGGATCGATATCTTTGTCGCAGCTCTTTGTGGAACTGAATATATTTTTCTGTTTTTTTTAATTTAATTTTTAAAAAAAATGTATATTTTTTAATTTTCAGTCACTAAATTTCGAATTTTTTTATACATTGTAAATATCTGGAACACAATATTCTCTGCAGTAAATTTAAATGTAGCCATTGATATTTATTATTATTATTATTATTATTATTATTATTATTATTATCATTAAAGGAGTAACAGCGTTAATAAATAGGTCAAAATAATTTAATTATAATGTATATTTATATGAAGGAAAAACATATAATCACAACAAATATTATTACAATTTATAATTTTTAATATTATTATTACCTAATAATATTCGAACATTCTTTAGATTTAATTAATTACTTTTATCTCTTTCTGCATTTTCGAATTAAATCTTTCGTCTTTCATCACGGATGTCAGTCTTCCTCCATGACCTCATTCAAATAAATAAATAAATAAATAAATAAATAAATAATATAGAAATCTTGACTCTCATTCTATTAGTATTTTTCATTTTTGATCTGCTTTTTTTAAATTTTTTAAAATCATTTATTTCACATCACAAACATTTGTATTTCCGGTTTCCGCTGCCAACACATTTCATATATATATATATATGTCGCAGGATATGGTTTGGCGTTTTATAGTGAGTTGGTGAAGAAATTAAATAGAATATATATATATATTTATATATATTAACCAGAAAACTGAACAGTTGTTGTACCTCGACTCTGCCGTGACCCCTCTGCGGGGCCGGACTGACCCCAGCCCGGCCTCCACTGATGGAAACGGCCTCCTGCAGCTTTAGGGGTTCAAAGGTAACCAACCTCAATCTGTACAGACGGAGACAAGTCCGCGGAGGCCACGTCCCTGCACGGACCTCCTCCTCTTCCTCCTCCTCCTCCTCCATCACCTCCTGGTCTCAACTTTTCCATCACCAGGGAGAACAGAGCCTTGACTTTTCTGCAGCCTGATCTGATTCTGCAGCTCGTGGCCGCGTCATCGTCGACGAGCACATCTGTTGTTATAGCAACCGAAGAAAGGACGGCGCCGCCTGTTGATCCCCTTTAGCCCGCTAACCTGATTCCTCTGCTCTTCTTCTGTGCGCGTATTTGCATCTTTCTTGATTAGAGCAGACATTCTCACACACGGACACAAAGACGAGTCACAGACGAGGAACAGGAACCGGATATGGATGAAAAATATCTTTGAAAAAAAAAAAAAACAAAAAACAAAAATATATATTTTTAAAAAGTACATCTAGTTTTTTTATTTAATTTTAGGCCCCTTTTATTTATTTATTTATTTTTAATTTTAGGCCCTAAATGTGATTTCGAATTTTTTTTATGCCCCAGTAAAATATATTTATTAGATTTTTTTCCCTTAAAATACCGCCGTGTATTTTCATGCCAGGAAGTTCGGGCCTTAATTCACCTGCGTAGAAAGTGACGTCACGGCGCAGTTAGAGCGAAAATACAGTTAAAGTTTTTAAACAAGGTCAAACGATAAAGGTCCAAAAATCAAAATGAGGAGACAAGTACTACAGTCGTGTACGGAAATACACAAAGTACTGCAGTAAAACGAAAAGTTCACAAAGACAAATGTGACCCAAAGAACACCGTCCTCACATCGAACATCGACTGAACAATATGCATCGTGAATGGGAAGCACCGCTGCAGGCAAACCGAAAACACGTGACCTACTACGGCCTTAATTCCAGACCAAAAATATGTGACGTAAGCTGACATAAATATATCCGTGCAAATATATAAATTATATGGCTGAGACAATTACGATTTAAAATAGCAATAATATCGTTGGTTTAAGAGGTGACGCAGCGGAGACCGGAAGAGGTTGTCGGTGCGGAGGAGCTCGTCCATCACCGCAACACTTCACCTGTGTGTGTGTGTGTGTGTGTGTTATGAAATAATTCAGAGGAGCTCACATACAGCGGGGCACTCGGCAGCGCCGCGGCCCGCAGACTGGAACACCCAAGAAGATCTGTCTCCAGGGAGACAGCGGGACACCGGTCCAACAAGCTGTAATTCTGTCTCAGCCTTTTGCAGGGGAGGGACCGTCCACACTGGCGCGTCTTAACTCCCCTTTCAGCAGAAATACTCCTAATCCCATATCTTAGCAAGGCAAACTGCCGTCCCTCAGTATATTAAAAGGACCGCGAAGTCAAAACTCAAAAGCCACCCATGGTTTCTCAGCAGGAGGCCTGTAATGACTGAGAGCTCCATCCATCAGCCATCCATCCATCCATCCGTCCATCCAGCCATCCAGCTATATATCAAAAAAAAAATACCGTATAAAAAAATTATCGTAAATATCGTCGATTTTATTGCAGCCCGGTTAAAAAAAAACCGCAAAATATTTTAATGCAGACAAAGTTTCTTAAATGCAAATTTTCACAGCTCGTCTTATTTTTTGTGTTCTGTTCATTTATATTTATATAAATTGATGAATTGCACGATATAAAATATCAATAGGTCATAAAATAAATCGAAATCGTAAATCGTAAAGAAATGATATTCTATGGATTAATAATGGTATTTTCAACATTAGGGAAAAAAATATGAACTAAATTCAGGATATTTTAGTGTATATATTTTATATTAAAAACAAATTTATAAAAACAACAACTGAAAAACATCGTTAATACATTTGAGCTTTTTATCATTGATCCTCAATCTGACGTCACTAACAGTA